GGGAGCACAGATGCTGGCACCCCCAAATGCTGAGCCCTTGGCTGGAGGTGGGCTGGGCCAGCATCTCCTGCCCTGGAGAGCAATTTTGAACTAGCTCTGGGAACAACAAAGCTGACATCGTTGCTACAGGAGCAGCCTTAGAAGAACAGCAGCAGAGACAAGGGCTCTCGTCCTACCTGCTCTTCCCAGCACCATCCAAAGGGGTTTGTAGATGTTGTGGACTTGAGGAGCAGAGCTGCCCTTCCAGGTGCTGTTCCTCTATAGGCTTTGCCTCGTCCCACACTGCTCCCTGCTCGTCCCACCATGGGCTCCCTCCTGGCTGCCCCCCTGCCCCAGCTCAGCGGACCCCCCGCTTACCGAGGAAATCATCGGCCGAGAAGTGGTCAGCATCCCAGACCTGCAGGGTGAGGCGAGCTGGGATCTTGTACTCGGTCTCATCCCAGGAGAACATGGACTCCTTCTTGGAGATGACGATCTTCTCCTCCGCCATCAGGTAGTCAAAGGGGAAGATGTAGCGCCAGTTGAAGTTGCCTTCACCAGTGAGTGAGTGGTAATGGACGTCCGTGTCTTGCTTGTCCTCCTGCTGACCCTTCAACCACCTGCAGGGCCCAGAGGGGTGAGAGGGATGGCACACGTTACGGGAGGGAGGAGAGGGCACAGGACCATCCTGTCCATCTCCGGGACAGACTGGAAGGACCCAAAAGGTGTAAGCGAGGGGCTGGGGCTGCTCTAATCACTGCAGCAGCATCTCCAAGGGGCAAAATGGGCATGGTGGGGCAGGAGGGTCCTAGAGGGAACAGGGGAGTTGGAGAGCAAGAAATGCAAGTGGGTTGTCAGAGGTCTTTCTCTGGGCAGGGAGATGTTAAAGAGGTGGACAGGAGCAAGGAGCATTGCTGGGGGGTCTGGAGCAGAGCATGCTGGAAAGATGTCCCCATCCCACACCGGTGGAGCAGACAGGCCCAGGGGAGGCTGTGGAGACCTTCTCGCTCCACCATGGGGTAGTTGGGCTTCCCCTGACGGCAGCGGTCTGTGCCGGGCACCGCAGGCTACCTGTGCCAGGGCACATCGGCCCGGGCCCCTCGGAGGCACGACCCGAGCCCATCGGAGGTATTTAGGTCTCCAGGCTCTGCTCGAGGGTGGGGTTGTCTCTGCTGACCCAATCTCCAGCCAAGGGACCCGAAGTGCCCGGATGAGGCAGGCACCGTGTCACTGGAGATGGCGGGGTCCTGGTCTTGCCACCCCGGGAGATGGGGTGGCCGTACCGACCTTGCCATCACATGGGCTTGTACCCCCAACTTTCTGGCTCCAGCGAGCAGGATTCCCAGAGCAAAAGGGACACGGAGGATGTTCCATACCAGCAAGTCCGGGGCCCAGGGGAACACAGCTTTGTTTTAAAGACTGTGAGTGGCCCCAGCCCCTTTCTCTGCTGAGCCAAGGCATCTCCATTCCCCAGGATGCTCTCAGGTTTTTTGTGCGTCTCTTTGTCCTGCGCCTGATGCAGGGTTGCTCTCTTGGGCTCTGAGCGTGCCGGTGCCCCACAACACACAAAGGCCAAGTGATGCCCCAGCACACAGGCGGGGAAGGGCCACAGCATCTTGCATTCAGAGCCATTGCAGAAAAGCCACTGGGCTGATAGGACCCGAGATGCCCAAACAGATCTGAGAGCAGCACGAGGTGCAAGCAGAGGAGACCTGGCCTGAGCTGGCGAGGCTGCAGAGGAACCACTGAGCAGTTTAACAGACTGGGGGGAAATCACCGCGTAGCCACAGCCACCAGCCTGAAATGCCGTGGCATTGATTTGAGGTCCTGTAAAGAACTGTGCTTTGAGGGGTCCCCTCATCTCTCTACAGGGAAGTTTTGGAAGGGGCTTTCCCTTGGTGCTGAATGAGAGCGAAGCAGAGATGGGACCCAACCGCAATTTGGCTCCAGATGCTGGAATTGGAGGTTGCAGGGCTGAAATGCCAAGTAGGGGCACCAGGACAAGCTCAAAAAGGGGAGGAAGGGCAGATGCAACCAAGCGGCGAGGCCTTGGCCATTACCCCCTGACATAGATGTCAGACATCTTCTCTCCCGCCAGGAAAGCATCGTCTTCCAAAACCACCTCATCGGTGTTCCAGATAACAACCCGCAGCTCAAAGCTGGGCAGCCCGGCCGGGCACACGCAGTGGGTTGTGCAGCCAAGACAGAGAGATGGAGAGGCAAGAAACACAGCACAGAAGACAACGGCAGCATTGGTGCTATCTGACCCTGCACCATGGTCCGTGGTGTAGCCCCCCGTCCCCTTCCCCACCCCAAAACCACCCCGGGGACCCCAGCGAGCACTAGCAACCCCCCCCAGGGAGAAGCAGAGGAGGTGGCACTGATGTGCCACGCTGTACCTACCCCCTGACAAAAATGTCACTGGATTTCTCGCCAGTGAAGTAGTCATCGTCCTCCAGGATGACCTCGTCTGTGTTCCACACTATCACTCTAAGCTCATATCTGGCAGGAGGAAGGGAGACAAGGAGGTGAGGCAGGGGGGCAGGGGAAGGGACAGGAGGGAACGGGGTGATGCTGCCAGGAGCCAGGGCCAGGCACCGAGATGGCAGGGAACTGCTCCCAGGGATCCTATCTGAGGGATCACGAGGGGTAGAACAGGAGGGGGATCTCCACACGAGCTCAGATCAGCCTAGGCAGGCTGAGCTTTGCCTCCCTCTGCTCCGAACCTCTGCGAAGTCCAAGCCAAAGGCTCAAGGGGACAGCCCAGGCTTGCTCTTTGGTAGATTTGTGGCTAAAATAGGGTCTGAATCCAGCTCTCTTCCTGGTTTCCCCACCTTACTCAGCAGGGCTGTCCCCCCTTAGAGATGGGCACCGCAGTCCTGGGGACTCTGGGAGGTTCAGAGACTCCGAGATATTCCCAGCGCTGCCTTTTGTGTGCAGCAACCCGGGGTTTCCCAGTCACATTGCCCTTGATCGGGAATTTTGGTAATGGAGAAAGGAGCTCTGGTGGGAGGAAGAGCAGAAGCCAGCTTCCTCGCAGGGTGCAGCTGCCGGGTGGGAAGGCTGGAGGAGGGCTGGGGGACGGCGGCAAAGAAACGCAGCCACATGGCCACAACCACAATGCATGGCTAGAAGTACCAGGGAGTCCTGTGGGTGGGGGGACGGGGATCTACAGCGTCCTTAACCCACCTCCTCTGCTATCTCCCGCTGGCGATGCCCTGGCTGAGCCCAGCTATGGGACTCTGGCCATCTCCTCCAGCCCCAGCCTCCTCCTGTCTGCACCCATGGGTGGGAGCTTGGCCCATCCTCTGCCTCTCCAGCACCTACAGCTGGTGTCAGGTGGTGCCAGGTGCTCCCAGCAAAGACAGGGGAGATGGATTAAACCCCCAGGATAATAACCAGGCATAACCTTGCTTGAAACAGGCTATCTACCTGCCAACCCTCTCCTCAGCCCATCCATAGGAACATCTCAGCTCCAGCTCACGGCTGAGCACGGCTGTCCTGGGCTGCACTGTGGACAACCCTCTGCTTTCCCAGTCCGTGCCGGGGTCTGGACCTTTCCTGCAGCTGCCTGCCCTGCTGCTCAGACCCCAGCTGCAGCCCACTGGGATCAAGGGATATTCTCACCATCCAAGGCATCATCTGCTGGGCATAGGAGTGCAAGAGTCTCCCACCAGGATGCCCAGTGCCATCCCTGTATCCCGGCCCTGGGGGTGGGAAAAGGGGCCCAAGGACAGGGTTTAGCAGGGTAAGGCAGGGCTAGGAGGGATGTCGAGGGAAGAAATGTCTTTCTTCTCTCTAAACGAGTTGGGAGAGGGCAGGGTAGGGAGGAAAGAACTTTATTACACTGCCTGTTGGCTGCTCTGTCCTGCTTGGGTTGACCAGCTCTGTCCCAGCAACCTTCCCTGCCCCAGGCTCTAGCCATCACCGCCTGGAAAGGGCCCACCCAAACTGCCCCGGGGGGCCTGGCCCTGGGCTAACCCTGGCCCTTGCCTGGGAGGGGGTCAGGGCTGGGCACACAGTTTAATTTCCTAGTCTACACAGACGAGAAAGACCCGGAGCTGCAGGGACTGGAACAGGTGGGATGCCATCCCTCAGGAGCAGCTCTGGAAGGGGAAGACATCTCTTGATGCCTCCAGTCTTGGGATCTCTGGAAACGCCAGCCTGGTCGAGGTACCCAGATTCCTTACTTCTTTGGTTTCCTGGGAGAAATATCAATGGCAGGGCCAGGCGCTGGCATGTCCATGGGGAACATGTCCACCCACATCTCCAGGCGACCCTGCAAGGTTGGAGAGGCGCAGTCAGCTCCCCTTCTCCCTCCTTGCCCCCCTCCACCCAGCAAAAAAAACCCCGGTCCCCCCCGCCCTCCACCACCAGTCTGGCCATGCCAGATGTGGGGCAGGGCCTGCAGCACCGAACCCTGCCAGATGTGGAGCAGGGCAGGGTTCCCCCATCCCATGAGTCCTTTTCCACCCCCTGCAGAAGGGTCTCATGGCACGGCATGCGTGGGGAGTCAGGGACCGAGGGTCCTGGGGGTATGAAATGGATGTTGGCTGGAGCAGGAGAGGCACTGAAGATTTAATCTGTTAGGGTCAACAGGCGACTGTTAAGGGCTGTTGATGCCCAAGTGCCACTCTTTACAGGATGCCTCCACTGCCCATGACAGGGTGGGTTACGGCTGGGGGG